GGCATGAGTAGGAAGGGGGCCTTGGATGCCCTCTTCAGGTCCCTCAGCCTCCTCTTCTGACCCCAGCCTTGGGGGTCATGGCTTGATTTCTGCTCACCTACAAGTTCAACTAACAACAAGTTCAACAACAACAACAAGTTCAACTAACTTTCTATCCTTGCTACTGGAGAAGCTGCTTCTCTGAGGCTGGCGTAGATCTTTCCCTGATGGAGACTGACCAGAATCTCTGCCTAGGCCTCGTCAGGGATTTGAGGGGGGCGGCGGGCGGGGTGCTACCTGCAGCCTGCTCTGTGGCTGATTCAGTCGTCTCCCATTCCGCCTCCTTCAGTTCATTCTGGAACCTGTATTTACCCCGGTAGGGCAGAGAACTAACAGGTATGGAGGGTCATGCAGTGCCACTCCATGTAGGATACTGCCGCCCCTCCCCACACACATTGTAGAGCACATAAATAACCCTGCAAGGTGACGTTAAGCTGTATGATACAGATGGGGAAACCGGGGCTCCGGGAGCAAAAGTAACTTCTCCAAAGTCACCTAGCAGGTAGGAGGAGCTGCTGGAATTGGGCCCAGGCCCGTGAGATCCCAAGCCCTGGCTGTTGCTTCACTCCCGGACTGTTCCCACCAAACAAGCCTGGTGGGGGCGGGGGCCAGACAGCGCCGGGCGCGGCGGGAATCAGCAACCAGGATCCTCCCGGGGAACTTTTCCCATTGAAAATCTGTTCCCCTCGCGGCCACGGGTGATGATGTATGGCTGGAGCTGATGAGAAACGTGCAGCGGAATGGAGGCGGGTGGGGGCGGCGCGGCATTGAGATTCCGCGCGGCGCAGGGGGTGGCGCGGGCCTGACACCGGCCGGGTAATTGATCTGGAGGTGCCAATTTGCAGCAACTAAATATTTGGTTTCTGCCTCTGCCCGCTTCGCGCTCTGCTCAAACAAACTTCAATAAAAAGCGAAAAGCGAGGGATGAGGGGAGGGTGATGCGCCCAGGTCTGCGCGGCCCGATCGATAGCCGGGAGCCTGTGGGCTGCTGAGCGCAGTGCGCCCCGCTAGGAGCCCAGAGAACTAGGGCCAGGCGGGCGCCCTCTTCCGGATCGCTGAGCACCCGGCGCCTGTCCCGCAATGGGTAGCGCCGGAGGCCAAGACTACGGGGATGACGCCTGGGAGTAAAGCAGATGGACCAGATGGAGCACAGGGCCGGCCGGACACCGGGTCCCTGGACGTCGGGCCTTGTGCATTAACGCAGGGACGCTAGGGAAGCCCTCTTCCTCAGTGCACCCACTAAATGAACTTTGCAGGCTGCTTTGCCATTCATCTGCGGTCACTCAGCATCTTCCTGAGCAACCTCTGGGTGCCAGGTACGAATCTGAGCGCTGAGGTCCCATCTCCTCTCCTCTGCTTGCCCAGATGTCCTCTCTTGAGTTAGTCCAAGAGCTGAGGGTGAATCCAGACCGGCTCTCATCCGTGGCGACCAGAGCGTCTGCCAGAGAGGGCTTGGACTGGAGGAGGGAGCAATGAGATCCTGGGGAATTGGGGAGGGGTGCTGGGAAGGAACTACAGCCCAGGGCAGGGGAAGAGATCACTGGGCCACCGGTTCCTCCTTTTGTGGTTCAACACAAAATGGTGACAATAGCCATTCCTTGGATGGAGTTTGTCCACAGGGAAGTTGCCGCCCTGAAGGATCTTCTAGTTTTTTGAGGGACAGATATGAGGGGCCAGGGAACAAGCACTAGCCCCTAACCATGGTATTCAGAGAGAGAAAGGCCCTATGTGTGTACCCTATTGGGCAGGTGGGGTTTGGGCAGTCCAAGGAGGGATGTCTTGAGAGAAGGGCTCACCTTCCAGGTAGGTCTGAAAAGTGGAGTTCAGGATGGGGAAGTTGAAGAGAGTTGGGAGGGAGGTTCTTGAGGGCCAGAGGTGAAGGCAAACGTAGAGAGGCTATGAAGGTAAATGAGAGGCCCTGTCCCCTCCACAGTATTGTGCCTACCTTTTGAGGTAGAAAACTACTAGGAGACTTACCCTTCACCAAGTTGGTTCAGTTGGCTGCAGACTGCAGCCCCTTCCTCCCCTGCTCACTTTTGTATCCCTTCTGCTGGGTGTGGAAGCCCTGGTACTGCCTTTGTGAACCCAGCCCGGGGCTCTCCGTGGCCTCCAGGCACTCAGATGACCAGCTGGGTGCTACCCTCTCCCTACTCCCCATCTGCAGGGCTGTGGGGAGGTTTGTCTCACCACCACCAGAATCTCCCGCTTCAGGTCTAAGCAGATGCCTCCCAGGCCCTCCTCACCACCTCAGCCCCAGGGCTTAATCTCTTTGGCATCACAGGGGAGCTGGAGCCCAGAACTCTGCCTGCCTCCCCATCCAGCTCTGTTCTCCCATTCAGCCCCTCAGTGCTTAGGCCTGGGGCCCTACCAGCAGGAAAACAAGGCTCCACTTACTTTTCCCTCCCTGTACTCAACCTTTGCCGCCCCCCCCCCCCCAATCCCCTGGAGCTGAGCTGAGTTGTGGAGCAGAATGATTTCCTATAATTGGCCAGCAATCCGGCTGCTTGACTTGTTCTATTGACATGCTGGTTAGTTGAAAATTGTATTGGAATCTGAGTGACCAGGAGGGGAGGGGAGGAGCAGAGAGAGGAGGTTCTTGGGTGCAACCAAGAGTGGGATCGAGGAGTTACCAGCCACCTCTTGTTGAGGTGGGAATGGGGACACACCTCCACCCGCCATGCCAACCGAGGGCACTTGTTGCCCAGGCTCTGCAGCTCCAGCAAGAGGAGGCTTAACGAGCCACACAGATTCTAATTAATGCCCGGAGCAAAGAAGCCCGTGTCTGGGCCCCCACCTCCGCTTCGCAGAAGCTCCTTAGTGATCTGAGGCCGTCCTCTGGCTCCGGAGGGAAGGTGGCAAAGCAACCGGAGAAAGTTAGGAACTGGTGGGCCTGCCCCCGCCACCAAACCTACCCCCTAACCCGGGCGCGTGCTGCCACCTGCCGACCGGAAGAGAGACCGCCCGCTCGGACGCAGGCCTAGGGCCCCAGCGACCTGGTTCCTGTCCGGTGTGTCTAGGATTCCCCCACGTGCCCGAAACATGAAGTCACTTTACCAGGAAAGTGGTCCTTGCTCTAAGGTTGCATCAGGTCACCAAGCTTGGAAAGGGAGCCCAGAAGGAGGAAAGGTGGGGGTGGTGTGAGTGGAGTGGGACTAGGGGAAGGCTGGATCCAAGTTCTCACACCTTTCCACCTGGCAGTCAGTCCTCTGATACTACATTTTTTGTAATGTCAGCAAACTCAGCTAGGGATGAAAAGAAATCTTTCAAACTTTACAGTTTACAGAGAGTAGTCCATCTCCATTTATTATGTCTTTAGATTCGAAAAGCCCACTCTGTAGAAGAAACTGAAGCCAGAGGTCACACAAGTAGGTGAGAGGCTGGACCCGCTTTCACTCCTCCTGAGAAAAGCCGGTGGTGGAGGGGAACATGACAGGCTTCTGAATTCTGACTCTGTGACCGGAATCCTCTCTGGACTGTTTTCTGCACATTGGAATCACTGATGTTACCTATTTGGAGTCACCGGTCCAGCAGAGCCCAGCACCCACAGGCACTCACGAGGAATCACTGAAGTAACAGTATAGGAGGGGTCCATCCCTTTCCTGCCCTTGCTTCCCTCCTCCTAGGTTCCACCAAACAAGCAGCAGGCTTCAGCATTCTCACCCTGCAGCACCGGCCCCATTCCCTAGACCTCCTTGCCCAGCCCCTTGGGGCTCAGCTGTAATAAGCTGGCCTCTGAGGTATGAGCAGCTCTGGGAAAGGGGGCACTAATTATGGCCACCACAGCGTTCACATTTGTCATGCTCATTTCTGACCTTAATAGGCTGCTGGCCATAGGATCACCACATTAGCAGGCCCACTGGTTCTGTCTACACTGGTCTAATTGAGTTAAGGATGGAAGATGGAGCAATAGGGTGAATGGATTGTGACGCTCCTCCACCCACCTCCTCGTAGGTACATGTGAACATGACTGCAATTCTCTGGCCCAGGGAGAAGTCAGTGGGCATTAGTACTGTGCCTTTGGAATCCAGGAGGTAAGGACCTGGGTCTAGTGTGGGAAGAGGCCAAGCAATTCCAAATGGTATCAGCTAAATCGGGAAACCTCTATTGGTGCTTGGAAACTAAAACAGAGCAGGGCATTTCTGATTCAAACAATTTATTAGGCACCATTGATGCGTCAGGCTTCACATTAGGAACACAGAGATGAATAAGACCCAGTCCATCTTCATAGGGCTTACAGTCCAGGAAGAGAGATCAACCAGCTTTTGGCTGATTACTATACTCTGGATAAAGGTAAAACAAAGGATGTAGTATCCTGGAGCACCTAACCCAGCCTGGGGATTAAAACATTTCAGCTAGGAGTTAAGACAGTTGGAGGGGGTGGGGTGGGGGAAGGAAAGGAAATTTATTCCAGGTAGCATGGGCAAAGGCACAGAGGTGAGAAACAGCCTATGCATGTGGAATAGCAGAGAGAGAGAGCATCCACTGAGAGGTAGGGAATGGCTGAAGGCTGGGAGGGGTGCACAGGGTTGGGGGAGCGCTAGAGAGGTGATGGTAGGATGGTAGAGTTAGGCTACAGCATTACCCATAAGACAGTTCTCTCTACACTGTTTGGAGGTGGCAAGCCCTTGGGCCAAATGGTCCAATAGGTTTTTGCCCTGAGGGAAAACCTGCTCAGAGCAGGTTCACCCAGCTTGACACACTGGTGAAGACCACCAAGAGTTTTCCCCACCCGGCTTGCAAGACACTTAGAACAGAGCATCTCAGAGTGTTGCCATCTTTTGCTGTCAGATACTGTTCTCTAGGCAACGCGAGAGGAAGGTGGGAAGGAGTAGTGACCAACACTTCTTTTTCTGTTTTCAATAGGATGCTATTCACAGAAGGTCCACCCAGCCCAGATTTGTATATGTATGTATATGTGTGAGTGAGAGAGAGGGGTGGGCTTTCTGTCTTGGAGCACCAGCCTAGAGTGAAGGCAGGAGGTAGTGGGTGAGCAGGTAGAGGAGGCCAACGAGGCCAACCAGGCCTGTAAGGATGCCAAGCCTCAGCGGCAGGTATTCTAGGGAGCGTTCCAGCTCGGCGTGCAGGACGATAACCTGGCGTTTGGTGGTGCTCCAGTCGCCTGAGTTGTCCAAAACATGGCGGGCCATGTGGACTTTGTCCTTCAGGGGAAGCTGGGCAGAGATGCGGGCCTCTGCGTCCTCCTGGTTCAGCTTGTTCCGCTGCATTAGCCGCTTCAGCTGCGTGTCCCGGTCACTACAAACAGGTAAGAATGCTGCTGGGGCCCTGCAGACCCAGCCTCTCTCCCTAAGCAAGTTACAGGGCTAAGGCTTTTCCTAGAGTCCCACCCAGCTCTGGGGTTGCTCAGAGTTCTACCCCCAGGCAGAAGGGGATTGGAAGCTCAGTGGCCATCCCCTCACCCCCCTCCTTGTGAGGGCCCAGATGGCTCTGTGGGCCACCTAAGCCTTTCAATACAAATGGGCAAGGGGAGGTTTGCAGCAGCTGTTTTTTGCCCTCTGGGGTCTTTCTGCTTTTCCTGAGTTTTCCCAGCTTTACGATGGATGACTTGATTCCCTGGAATTAGTTACATTTTGGATCCCTGTGTGGGTGCCCTTTACTGAAAGGCCTGTGCCTACAAGCTAAACACTTCCTGGGGCTGGGGCTGCTGCATCAAAGACAGTATTCTGGGCCACCACAAAGATCCCTCTCCGTGCCTCCACATGCACATCTAGAGCAAACAGTGTGCTGAGATGCTGTGTTTGATGTCACTGATGAATGGGAGGGGCATGCCCCAAGGTGCTTTAAAGAGGAACAAGGACTTGGGAATTGAGAACTGGATCCCTCCGTCCTCAGGACAGGACAAGCACTACAGGTTAGCTGAATAGCACCCAGGTCTCCCTCCTCCAAAGGAAATTCAAAGAAGACCTCTTCCACCCACCCTCACATTGTCTGGGGCCTTCCTCCTCCCTCAGGAAGCTTGCTCTCCTGCCCTTGAAAGCACAGGACTGCCCAGCTTGACTGGCTGTGATCAGTCCTTGGGGATGGGGTCCTCTCCACCTCCCCTCGGTCTTTATGGGATTCCTCAGAGCCTCCCTGAACCCACAACAACAAAGAACCTCCTTGGGAACACTTGGGGAAAGGCTGCAGCACTGTTTTCTGCCATCTGGGGTCTCTCTGCTTTGCCACTAGACCAGAGTTTCTCCAGTTATAAGATAGGAGGCTTTGATCACTGCAGTTTGGTCCCCTCTTGGGGGGCCCTAGGAAGCAGATTAAGTAAAGCCAGACACACGTGGGGTGGCAGCCTACCCCTCCCATGACAATATGGAGGACCACACACTCGTCACAGAGCCAGTCCCTGCTTGGCTGAGAACAAGGACTATCTAATATTAGTCAGAGGACCACAAATCTGGCTGGGAAAATCTAGGTGAGAAACTGGAGATGGCTTGAGGCCCTGTGGGTGCACATCCTTCTGAGGGTGTGGTCGAGACACAGGGCCTCTGGTAGGTGAAGGAGCATCCTTGCACCCAGAAACAGTCCTGCTATGGTTCGCTTAAGGCTTGCTACTATTATGGTAATGGGATTGCCCCCCAAACACCTATTCCACTAATGGCAAGAGTCTTGCGAAACGTGGAAAATCACATTTTGATATAATCACTCGGGTAAATGTCCCATATTATTTCAGATATACCAGGGATAGCTGCCATTAAAATCAATCCGCAAGGGGATCCTCACTTTTGAAAAGTATAGATTCCTTTAGTAAAAAGCAAAGAATCATTCTATCATAGCTCTTTGGCATTTCCCAGGAGTCATATGGTCACGTATACTCAAAGGGCAGGCCTGGTGCCCAGGACGCTGGCAAAGACTCCTCTGACTGGCAAATGGGGCTGGACCGGAACTCTTGGAGAGCAGGTAGAGGCTCCAAAGCCCCACTCATCACCAGAAGCCACGGCTATCTCTGCTCTCAGCACACAGAGCAACCGCAAAGGCAGGCCTGAGGTCATCTGTAGTTGCAAACATACCTTGTGTCTAGGTCTCGCTATGAGCCCATTCTGTCTCCTTACCTACATTTTAAAAGACTTTTTCTGTTTTAAATTCCCAGGTACCAAGTTCTAAGTGTGTCGTTAAGATTCCAAGGCAAAGAGGATTCCAGGTCTTCCTGGGGCCCATTTGGCCTCAGGTGACTAGCCTTCCACAAACAGGGAACAAAGAACCCAGAGGGACTGCATGCAGTTTACATGGGAGACACAGGTCCCTGGGAGAGCTAAGAAGTAGCCCAAGTCCACACACAGGCTCCAGTGATTCATACCAGGCTTTAAGGACAGCCTGTGGTGGGGAGCTAGGAGGAGGGTGATGCGTGCTAGGAGCCTTCCACATATTAGTCTCTTGAGAACTACCCTGTACTCCAAATACCCACAGAACCAAGTGCCCACCTCTGGATCTGCTGCACTTGGGGGGAGTATCTGGGAAGTTTCTGGAAAGCAGACACACTCACAGCCTTGTCTATTCTGTTACCCGGCTGCACCTCTGACTAATGTTCTCTGACAGCTTGAGCCTCCTGTTTGCCAAACCTGGATTCTGGTTTGCTTCATGTGCTGGAGGATTCTGAGCACTACGCTCCTTCCTTAGATGAGCTCTGTCACTTCCCTCCATGCAGGTGTTGCCAATAGGGGATCCTGGACAAGGCCTTTAACTCCCCCTTCCAGTTTTAGAACTCAGAACTACCAACCTCTGTCCTGACCACCCCCTGATCAAAGGTAAAGTGGGTGAAGCCATGAAAGTGTGAGCTGGTTTGGAAGCTGAGAGGTGCTCTGGGAGGAAAAGGGGATCCGGTGAATGCCAACAGCAACATGCAGCCCAGGAAGGTCAGGCTCTGGACTGAATGGCCACCAATGACCAGCAGGGGGAGCCCATCCCAAGCACTTACAGAAGGGGGGCAACACCAATGCAGACAAAAGGGTCCACTTCCCTGGGTTGGCCAGGGAGGTCAGTTTCTATAGGCTCTGGGCACAGCTGCCACCCCACCCCCCACCCCCCACCCTGTGCCTCTGTGGGGGCTGAGCCAGGCCACAGACTCACCAGTACACCACCACCGTGTGTTTCATGTACTTGAGCAACTTCTTGGTCTCGAACAGCAGGGGGATATCCAGAATCACGTAGCGGTATCCTGGAGAGAGGCCAGAAACCCCACAAGTTCCATTCTGCAAATACACACTGAAGATGGCTTTGTGCCAAGCGTGGGAAGAGAGAAGGAAGCCACCAGACCTAGAGGGAGGGCTCCCGGCAGTGGGAGAGACCTTCCAAGGGCAGACACAACCTGAACTGAAGGTGCAGAAAACCACTGCAGGCTGGCTGCTCCACGGACTAGCAGGAAGGCTGGCATTAGGACTGGCCTGCAAAAGGGGCTGGACGTCTGATACTTGAAAATGAGAGGGTGGATGGAGGACCCCAGCATGGGGTACAGCTCCATACGGGTAGAAGCAGGTATCTCTGACTCGCAGCAATGTGAAGTGAAGCTGACAGTGGCCAGGTTAGCTGGCCTTCATCCTGAACCCGAGGGCTTGTCATTTCCAAGCAGAGTGCAGGAGACTGGGGGAGTTTTCAGGAGCAATGGCCATTTCTGCCCTCCTTCATCTCATCTTTGCTCAAGAAAACCAAAAGGATTGTTTCCCCCTCAAGAGTTCAGTCTCGAAAAATCTGATGTGCCAACCTCAATCAAATCTCCACGTGAGGCATGAGTTAAGAGGTATTCACATGGACAGCAGCAGCCCGAACAGCCAGTCATTGTGGAGACTCGGGGCAGCAGAGCTACTCATCACTGACACCACAGAAACAACTCCAGTGAGGTAAAAGGCGCTGGCTGCACCTCCCCATCACAAGTCCAGGACAGTCAAAGCTGCTTCCTCACCCACTGTGAGTGGGCAATGTGTCCCTGGGCTGCCTGCCTGGGTGCACCGTGGCTCACACCCACCAGTTCTCATTAGGGCACCAAACCCATGTATGTGTGTGAACAAGCTGGCAGGGATGTGTGCAGCAGTGAGGGAACGGGGCAGAAACTGCTGCTGCCCAGAGACAACGAGCCTCGACAAGGCAGAGCCTGCACCCCTGGTGGGATGATGCCCACCCAGCTCCACACACTGCCAACCAAAGAACCAGACACACAAGACCAATTCCATGGTGGTCACTCAAGGGGATGCAGGGAACTGGCAAGGCAACCCCAGCTGCTGAGCTTCCTGACCCCTAGGCTTGAATGAAGTGGTCCAGAGTACAGATTCTGATGGCATGGCTTGGCCTGTAGCCCCTCATTTGCCCACCCTGTGACCTTGAGAGCCCTTTAAAGTATTCATTTGTGGAGTAAAATAAAACGACCCGCCTCACGGGGTGAGGGCAAGGATTAAATGAGTGAACGCATTCTGCACCCCCGGGCCTGGGCCCTTGCTAAGTGCTCCATAAATGATGGTTATTATGACTATTGCTCCAGGCAGGAGGGAGGCTAGCAGTGCTGGACACCCCCTTCTGCCCCTACCTTGGAGTACAAGCCAAGAGCAGCTCCTCTCTGGGCCTCTTATCTCCCTTTCCTGCTCCACTCCCATCGGCTCCCCTCCGCTCACTGGCCTTTCTCCAGGGCCCTCGTGGGAGCTCAGGGCCAGCTCCTTGGTTCTTCGGCAAAGGGCTATTCAGCTGTCACATCCCTCCTGCTTGATAAGCTCTGCCGACTACCCTGACTCGATGAAGACATCCGTCTGCCTACACAGAGACCTCCCAACAGCTGGTGATCTTATCTGACGTTTGATTAGACCAACTTTGACAGTTGTATTTGTTATACTCATCAGGGAAAAACTGGGACTGTGCAAGCCACAGCTGTCGTCCCGTTTTCACCTTATCGGGCTGAAAAGAGCTTTCTGGCTTTTATTTAAGTGGTGGTGGGGGTAGGAGGTGGGAAGGCTGGGTAGGTGACACAGTGGGAGAGCTTTGGAGAGGGTGACATTATCATCCTACGCTTAATTTCAGGAGCAAGCCACTGCTGCCTTGAAACCCTGCAGATGTACTTGTAACTGGCCTGGGAGCAAATGCAAAAGGGCAGGAATGAAAAACAGAAGGCTCCGCTCCTAGGCAGGAGACAGGAGGAGACTCGCACAGACAGGCAGCAGGACAAAGGCAGAGAGACCAGAGACTTTTCTTGGAGTGGGGGTGGCTCAGGGGGGTTGTAGCAAGGTGTGATGGGGGGAGCACAGCAGATCCATGGGTTTGGGGAGGCTGTCTGGAGCCAGCAAGCGCTGCCTGGCTGAAGTTGGAGGCTCAATGTCATGGACGGCTGTCAAGTCTGCATTTCCTTCTAGAGGGAGGTATTGGCTAGGGGGAGGGGAAGAAAGTTCTCCAATCTATACACAAGAAGGTGGAAGAGAGTGAGTGGAAAGGCCTGGAGACAACTGAAGGCGGCGCCCCTATGGTCCCCAGGCAGGAACGTCTAGTCTGACTGTAGGGAGATAGGCTGCCAAGCATTCAGCCCAAGGCCAACACTGGAGGCTTCATAAGCCAAAGGCTAGCAGACAGACCTGCCAGGCCCATGCCGGCCTCTGGCCTGACCCAGAATCCCTGCCCTCTGCTTTCCCAATGCTCCTGGTGACTGCTGTGAAGAACAGGGCCTGCACTGTGGCGTATGGCTTGTGGACATGTTGCTGACAGCTTCCTGTCAGTGATGCAGGCCCCAGCTCTTCACACTCTCTCCTGTCCTTGGAGCCAGGCCTATCTACTGGCTGTCTCTGACCACTGAGGCCTGCTTCTTTATAACTGTCCCCCAGTTAGAACTCCTCTGCCATCTGCCCTGGTCCCTACTCAACTTCCATTCCATCTACAAACTTACTTTCCAGGCAGCTCAACAGTCCCAAATCTGACTCTGATGGTGGTTTACATGTGTATAGTGACTGATTGTCCTACATGTGGACTTTCAGTCCTCCCAACAGCTTTCCAAGGTCGACATTCTTATCCTTACTACACAGATGAGGAAACGGGCTGAGTGTGGACCACTCCACCCGATCATCCAGCTAGACACTGTAGGGGCCAGGACTTAAGTCAGGTCTTAGGTCTCTGCTACGACCACTCCCATCCTCACCAGAAAAATCAACTTACTTCCTAGGGATCCTGGATCAAAAGCCTCATGAGTCTCTTCTCTTTAAATTGTCAACTTCCTTAAGAGTTGGGGGACATGTGCTTCTTTCCTCTGGGGCTGGTACAGGGCTCTGCATGGTGGGTGGTACCCATGAATAGAGTGAACAGACCACCCTGGATAACCAGCTCCCCCCACCCTGGCCAAGCTTTCTGTCACGAAGGGCCCTGGCCCTAGAAGGCATGGACTTTGTCCCTGGATCTTACCCTGGAGAAAGTACTTGAAGGTCTCCTTCATCATTTCCTTGAGGATCTCGGGGTGAGTGATGGTGTTGAGCAGCTGCCGCAGGTCAGGCTGGTTAAAGATCAAGTCCCCCAGCACCTTACGATTGATGTCACCGTTCTCCAGCAAGACCTCAGTGCCAAAGGCCTCCACAATGCGCCGGTACGCGGGGTATCCTGGCTGGACCACTGCGGCACAGGGAGGAGACTGGATCACTCTTGGGAGCCTCCAGGCCAGCTGGAGGACCCCAAGTGGCCAGAGGCAAGATGATGGAGGAAACCAAAAAATGCTTCTTTCAGTTGGAGTAAAAACAAAATGAGGGGAGGACTCCAGACTCTCTGGATCCATGGAGGCCAGATGAATCCCTGAAGCTACTACCCTCAGATCATCTGTTAACCTTAGACCAAAACATCCCCTCAAAGCTTCTTAAAGTCAAACAATAGTTTAGTTTGTTGTTGTTGTTAAGTTTGTTGTTGTTGTTAAGTGCCAACAACAAACAGCTTGAAAACACATCACAACAGCTTGAAAACACTGTCCGGTCTTGAGCCATCCTTACGATTGTTGATACACTTGGGCCCACTGCTGCTGCTCCTGCTGCTAACCCATCTCACTAGGAGTCTTCCTCTTTCCTGCTGACCGTCCACTTTACCAAGCATGATGTCCTTCTCTAGGGACTGGTCCTTCCTGATAACATATGCAAAGTATGAGAGATGAAGTCTCATCATTCTGGCTTCTAAGGAGCATTCTGGATGCACTTCTTCCAAAACAGATTGGTTTGTTCTTCTGGCAAGTCCATGGGACTTTCAATATTCTCCTCCAACACCATAACTCAAATGCATCCACTCTTCTAGGGTCTTCCTTATTCACTGTCTGACTTTCACATGCATATGAGGCTGTTGAAACTACCATGGATTGTGTGAAGCGTGTGAAGTGTGGCTAAGGGAAGGCAATGAATGTGGGAGGTGAGGTGGGGATTGGCTAAACAGGGCTTCAGTTTTATACAAACACCTTTTCTTTTAAAAATGAAAAATTCTTTAAGTAAATATATAAAGATAGTGGTTAATTGTGGATTATGGTAGCTAGTTACTTTGTGTTATTTTTTATATTTCTAAAATTTCTCAAAATAAGAATGGGGATGTGGGATGGAATGAGAACACTGTACATGTAGAAATAATGTTATGGATTCATTCTGAATCAAATACTAAACTTTCATACTAAGTATTTCTTTAAAAAAAACAAAACAAAATACCATGGTTTGGATCAGGCACACCTCAGTCCTCAAACTGATCCAAGTTCGCTTAACCAGTAACAATCAGATCTGCCTTGAGCGCTGTGCTCTTTGAAGAACTATCTCTGTGGGATCACATTGCCAGAGCAACTGGAAAGACCGGACAGAGCCTCAGGAAGCAGGGAGTTGGTGTACGGGGGAGGGGCAGTTTAGGAGAGGAGGGTGAACATCATCAGTGTCACTGCACTGTGCATGTGGGAACTGTTGAACTGGTGTACATTTTGCTGTGTCTATTCTCAACAACAACTAGAAAAAGAACAAAAAGGAGAGGAGAGAAAGCAGTTAGGGGAGAGAGGAAAGATCACACAGACTCCCCAGGTCAGTAATGGGCAAGGTGGAAGAGGAGGGGGCACAGAACAGCGTAGGCCAGCAGAAATGCCTTGGCCTCATCTGAGGCCTTGAGGAAAGAGGGAGGGCAGGCCAGTGTAGTCTCTCTGGTGCCCCCTCCAGCAACTCACCCTGGTGGGCAATGACGTCCACATCGATAACTGCGCAGTTCAGCTGTTTAAACACCTGGATCACTGAACTCTTGCCTGAGGCAATGCCCCCTGTCAGGCCCACCAGGAACATCTTGCTCAGAAAAGAGAGAAGTCAGAACTCACGGACCCAGGAGCCAGGGAGCTCAGTTGGCTGTCAGAAGGCCAGAAGGACCTGCAGGTCAGACAAGAAGAGGGCTGCTCAGTGGTGGACCCTGGGCAAGTGGGAGCCAGCAGAAGGGAGGGGAGAGACAAGTCTGAGTGTGGGGGGCATCAGGACCTCCTGGAGACAGGACACATTCCAGGTGTCTTTTCAAAACTCATGTGAGGAAGGTAAATGAACACAGTTCAAATTTAGTAATCCAAATGCTGAACAAGCAAGCAAGAGGTCAGGTGCTGTTACGTAAAGAGTGCTTTCTGGAGGGACAGCTAGCCTGCTGGGCAGGAAGGAGACACCCATTCCTCCGTAGGGAACCCAGTTCAAGTTCAGATGCCCACCATTTGCCCCTGGTGGGGAAGAACAATGCCATCACAGCCTCCTGTGTGCCCAGGACACTGAGTTCTGTCTGTAGCCACCTCTGGGTCACAGGAGTGATCACAACTGACCCCAGGACTCTAGGCCCTCTTGTCCCAAGCTCCCTTTCAACAGGAAGACCTGTCCACTGCCCCACCCTGAGGGTCACATGGCTGGCTGGAACTTTACCAGGAGTCACAGTCAAGTGGATGGAAGCTGACACACCTCCCTCCCCTCCCCCAAATGGACCATGAATACTCAATAAATAGCAGTGAGAAAGGCAAGGTCGGTGGAAAGTGGGGGTTAAAAAAACAAAAATATGAAGTAGTCAAAATCCCATTCCTGCACTCTCAGACTCTCTAACTCTCGAACTACAGATTTCCAAAGGTCAGGCTGCAATTTCTCAAGTCAGCTGGACTTTGATACAGATAGGAAGAAATTAAACGGAAGGCCAGCGCTTTACCACCACTCTTCACTCTTCCTTCAATGGCCAATCACTTCTCCGGGACCTTGAGGTCTGTCCTAGGACTTGTTTTTTCTCCTTAAACAGTAGATTTGCTGTCCTAATTACACTTTGCTGGAGCTTATACTGAAATGAATTTGCCTCCCGAGAATAAACTAAATGACAAAGGCTGAGTAGTGGGTGGGTGGCGTGGAGCAGCAGGGGCACTCATCTTGAAGATGAACTCTGCCCAGGATCATTCTCAGAGTCCTGGTGTGATGTTCTAGGATAAGTACTGGACTGCTAACCTCTAGGTTGGTGGTTCAAACCCACGAGTCGCTCCTTGGAAACTCTATACGGGGTCTCTAAGAGTCAGAACTGACTCACCAGCACTTAACAACACCCACAAGGATCACTCTCACCCAGGGAAGCCCTGGAGACAGGAAAACACTTGCCACAGAGTCATCATCCAAATAGAGAGACGGCGTCAAGGCCAGCTCTCCACAGGGTCCTGGCCCCCCATCGGTAAACACAAGCTTTTCTCTCCCAGTCACTCAACTTTTCCAGACTCTGGCTGAAGCAACTTCAACCACCACTGAGTACAGGTAGCAGGCCCCCTTGCCTTGAAAACTGACAGACAAGCTGTCATGCGGCTATCCCAATGCAGGGAGACCCCATGAGCCACAGAGTAGAACTGAACCTTTCAGAAGCAGATTGCCAGGTCTTTCTTCCAAGATACTTCTTGACAGGTTTGAACCAGCAACCTTTCAGTGAGTACCCAAGTCCAAACCCACTGCCATGGAATCAATTCCACCTCCTGGTGCCCCATGTGTTACAGAGCAGAACTGCTCCATAAGGTTTTTTGGCTGTAATCTTTATCGGGCTGTGTACCTCAAGGTCAGCAGTTCGAAACTACCAGCGGTTCCTCAGGAGAAAGATGAAGCTTTCTGATCCTGTAAAGATTTACAGCCTCGGAAACCCTGTACATGGTTGCTCTGGGTCGGAATCGACTCGACAGCACTTAACAACAACAACAACCTTTATGAACACTTATTGCTGGTCCCGTGTCCTGTGGCGCTGCTAACCTTTCAAAACACCAACTTTTTGGTTAATATTCAAGCATTTAACTATTTGTGTCACCCAGAGACTTTTGGAGACCTGGGCATGGAGCTGCCAGGCAGTTCTGATGTGTAGCAGGGCTAGGGATCAAGTCTGCCTCTTCATTTACAGTGGTGAAGACCGAGGGTCAGAAAGGGGAAGGGCCTTGCCATAGTTATTAGCAGAGCCAGGTGGAATTCAAGGCTCACAACTCCCTAGTCTTACCTGCTGCCTTTATTGTACTCAGGAGCTGAAAAATTAATTTACCCTTAGACTAAGGAAGACAAAATGAGAAAGGTGAATCTACCTGTAGGCCAATCAATTCAGAGTCAATTGTTTTTCCTCCTGCAGAATGGGATCAAGGGGGCTTTAGGCAGAGACTAGGACACATAAATTCCAGGGTAACTTGGGTACAGTGAATTACTTAATTTGACCCTTCTAGCCATAGTTTTTCTAGCTCACCCAATGACTGGCAAGGACTACGCAAATGAGGTGCTTGTGACCCACAAAGGAAATCAGATAAACTTGTTAATGTAAATAATGTGTATGGCACCCTTGTGGTGTGTAACCATGAAATTAAGGTGTATGGATCATTCAGCAATGAGGGAATGATCAGTTTTGCCATTCTGCTAGGCTTAAAACGAGCCATCATCATAAAGGTGGACCTCAGGACCACTGATAAAGAAGGGCCAAGAGGAGAGCATGTCCTTTGAGCTTGGGCTCCCTGCACCAAGAACCTCTTAAATCAAGGAGATAGAGAGATCTATAACCAAAAAAGAGTCCTGGTGTGGCGCTGTAGGCTAATGCATCAGACTGCAAAGTCATTTGAACTGCAAGGTTGGTGGTTCAAGCTCACCAGCCGCTCCTTGGAAACCCTATACAGGGTTGGTATGGGTCGGAATTGATTCGATGGCACTTAACAACAACAACATAACAAAAGAGATGGTGAGAAGCAACAATAGAGAAATGGCAGCAGCAGAACCAGGAGATGGGCAAGAGACTTCCTGGCCCACAGAGCAGGAAAGCTAAGTGCCTTTGGGCAGCAGGCTTGCTGAAAGAGCAGGGTTCCTTTGGGCCAGTTTTGCCAACCTGTGGAGCTAGAGCTGAGTGCCTTTGGCAGAGTGGGGTGCCTCTGGGCACTTACCAGTAGAGCTTAACAGCTTTGTAACACTTGTCCAACCAAGGCAGAGGCCAGGCTGAGAGCCAGAGAGAGGCCTGTCTATGGGTGTGGCTGACAAGAGGCTGTCCTGATTGAAGACCTGTATCCTGAGCATTCTTGAACCTGTAGTGTAACCAGTTACTTTCCTAATAAACCCTGTAATGGTCAGTATGGTCTATAGGTTCTACGTGGCCACTGCAATGCATTATAAAACCAGCAGAGAAGTGGAGTGCATGGGAGAGACAGTTGTTGTCAGAATTGGTAAAGTTTAGAGTGTGGAGACATGTTTGATCTCTGCCTCATAGGAATCAGCCTTGGGTTGTTCATCTTGATCCTCTTCCTCCTTGTGAAATTACAGGAGGTCAGACACCTCCACCACACCATTTTTATAGTAACCGAACAAATCTCTTCCCATCTCAGAGCCTTGAACTACCATCTGTGAAAACAGACCACCAGCTGCTTGGCCTCCATCAGGAAGGCCAAGGGAATGGTGAAGCACATGCCTGCAGCGGCTCTAGGTCCCTGGCTTAGAGGGATCCGACAAACAACAGCTGTTCCCATCCAACAAGCCTCTTCATAACTCAGCCCCTCACTACGGTTGACGGAGCATTCTGAGCTATGCAGCTCAGTGCCAGGGGCTTTTCGCACAACTGAAGGAAAGCACAGGTCTTGTCCCTCAGGGAGGTTGAGCACATAGACAGTAACCACTGAAACCAGTGGAGAACAGAGCACTGCCTCAATCTGACTCATCTCCTTTCTCGCCAAGTCTTTCTCCATATGTCAGTCACGGCATCAAGTAACTACCGGCTCACCTCAATCCCCTGCCTAAAATCATCCTCCAAGCCCTTCCCAGGGGCCTCCAGGCTTTGGGTGACTACCTGCCACTGTCAACCTCTCCATCCCTTCGGTGATGCCATGTCTGTGGCCTGTTCAGGTTACACTGGCTTTCCCTCTGACCCCAACCATGCAGGCGCTTTCCTACCTTAAAGCCTCTGCACATGCTCTTCCCTCACTCTTCTCCCAGCTAACTCTTCTTGATTTATTTCTGCATTTGTTCCTTCAACCAATCAGACACCAGGCACTGTTCAAGAAAAGATTCCCTCAACATAATCCACAAGACAATGTTCTACGTCCTACTTTGGTGAGTAGCAACTGGGATCTTAAAAACTCTTGAGTGGCCATTTAAGATGCAATTATTGGTCTCTCCACATGCGGAAGAAAAGCGTGTTGAAAACTGAAGATGCTTGGAATCAAGATGAAATGGAACATGTGACCATCAGTTACCATGACTCTGAGACCAAAAGAACTAGATGGTGCCCAGCTACCATTACCTACTGCTCTGAAAGGAATCATCATATCAGAAGGCTGCAGATAGGGTAAGAGAAAATGTGTAACAAAACTCAAAGTTACAGAAAAAGACTGGGATTACTGGTCAGAAAGAAACTGGAAGAAGCTGAGACTATGGCCCCTGGCCACCCGTTAGGTCTAGAATAATACTCACCCTTGTGGTCCAATTTTCAGCCAAGCATTAGATAGGCATATGGGGGGAAAAACAACACTAGTTAAGTATGCTCACCACAGAGTGGTCAACCATTCAAGATCAAAAGGGCAACAATTCCCTGAGGACAAAGTTGAAAAGGGTGGAAAGGAGGATGGAATGGCAAGTAACACCCCAGGGGAGAAGTGGGTAACTGTTGTTGCATGGAGGGGACTTCTTCAATCACTGAGATGAAACAAAGTGGAGGATTTGGTGAATGTAAAACTGATGATCTTCTCTGTAAATCTACACTCAATTCATAATCAAAAGTTCCAAGAAAAATAACATGAGTTAGGTCAGGCGCACCTTAGTCCTCAAACTGACTTCTTTATACCCTTGAGCACTTTAAAGATGTCTTTTGCAGCAGATTTGTCTAATGAAGTAAGTCGTT